GGGGGGGGTCAATCTTCCTAATCCAGAATCTTTAATATGAAACAATATTAACAGACAGGTTTCTTTACTACTACATTCCAACTGTCTAACAAAACCTGATTGATACCTTCTGCACATGCCTAGGCTATGCAACACCATTTCCAATTGTACATCTGTGCTGTGCATTGTTACTAACAATGCCCATACATACAGTAGGGAAGTATACATCACACAATTGCACAACATCAAGGAAAGGGCTTGTCCCATATTGTCCCCTGAAACCAAAGCTACGCACAGGTAGCATTCCAATATGTTATCACTATTTGCTCAATTTATACTCCTCAAGTACTGTCAACAGTGTGATTTATGGTCTGGCTTGGATTTCATAGTCAAGACCCCCTATTGTCATTATCTTCCATACATTAATCCAGATTTTCCATTTGTGGAGATATTACTGATTTATTAAAGTTGTTACTAATTACTTCCTTGCAGAAAGTGTTCAAGTCCCAAAGCTAATACTGTATGATGAATCCAATTCTAATAATATCAACATCATGTTTAAGGACTTGTTTCATCACCAAACAGGTAGTAGGTAAGGTGACTTTAAAACTGCCAGCTGATAAGACCTGGTCAGGAATGTGCGATGACCAGACCAATCCCTCATTTTTAACAGCCTTACCGCAGACTAAAGCAAAAAATATATCGTGTCTTTAAACTGTCTACCTTCCTCACAAGACGATGTAAGAAAACTTAGGAATGTCACTTGTGAACATATACATCTGCTGTATGTTGGAAATTTTGAATATTAAACAGTATAGAATAAAGAGTTAACTGATGACTGTCGCCACAGATAGCATCGCAAGCATGCATATTCATGCTGGATTTCTTAAACATTATACGATATGAACATGACCTAAATTTAACCATTGCTGATTTCTTTATACATTTTGCCAAACTTGTCCAATTTTGAAACAAAAATCATACTTGCATCCTCTAAAGCAAAAGATATGTCAAAATTTTAAATAGTCCCTAGATTTATTCAAATTATGTATCTGTATGCATCATATGCACTAAACTACCCTTTAAAAGGAACAGCCTAAGATTAAACTAAAGTTTGTTTGCAGTACAAACACTAGTGCTGATGTAACTGCTGTGATATGTGCTTTGGATTCTCAGTTATTCAATATCTTTATAGGAAAACAATGTATCAACCCAGTGCACCAGTATGTAATTACAATGTGCAATGTTGCCCCATCCTGTAATGTTGTCATAAGGTTAATAAGTAGCATACCAATTGGAAATATTTAATGCTAAATGACAATTTTTACAAATACTCAACCTAAGGGAAATCACGTGTTAAAATTTAACTGAAGAGTTTTGGAAATCTGATAAAACTTGATGCGTTTTTGTCTATTAATACATAAAGGGTGGTCTACCTTTATCTACTCTAGAGGGTGCAATATCATTTTCCTAAGGATTTGCGGCATTTGAGAAAGGAAAAAAGATACAAAATATTCCACCTTGAACTTCTAAGCAATTTTACGAGTTTCAAAGATAGTAAATATTCCTTATTTTTAATACATTATAACATAAAATCATAGCAACAAGTAGTATATATTAACAAATCTGGGGCAGTTTATTCCTAGTACTTTGCGTCGGGCCTCCATATATGGACTCCAGGGTAACACTAGCTGCTAGAGCTAAGATGCCGCTGCTATACATGCTGTCTGTATCCTGGGATACTACACTCTACCTGTAAAGCACCTGATTCTCAGAATTAGTTGCTATAGTGATATCGCTGAGAGTGTGTTTGTATATCTGTTTCTTTTCCCCAGGTTATACGGATGGAGGCCCGGCAGCCAAACACCTTGAACATGTGAACATGCTTTGATGTGATTATGTAATGCATAATTAATTACCAGAGACGGGGAGGCCCCTTTTGTCAATGGGGAATCTGATGAGCCATACAGCATTTAATCAAGCAAATGTCTATTTAGTAACCATATTTTCCCTGTGATCATAAAACAAATTATAAATAAGTGTGAAATATCAAAATCAATATGCATGAATGCTTTGTGAATAAAATTTGTGAAGAGAAATTTTATGAAAAATTGAAGTTCTAACAAAGTAGTTACCCTCTGCAGAGTCCACAATTTATGTTTTGCAAACAAAATAAATGATATAAATATAGAAAATGAAAGGGGTGTGTGTGTGTGTGTGTGTGTGTGTGTGCGCGCGCGTGCGTGTGACAGATAATGGTTTATGTGTAAAAAAGTAATAGTTTGACAATTGCGTTTAAAAGTGTATTTGGCTTAGAATTATGCTGCATTCAAACTACATCTAAATCTTTTTCATGATTTTGATTGGAAAATTGAATGAATATCAATTAAATTTGAATTAATCATCAGAGACTGGAAATATGTATCATGACAGAATAGTCTTTTTTGGATGATATAACCCATATATCCCCTATCTCCTTACTGAGCAACTATCACGCAGCATCTCTTGCACCCACAGTGCACACTTGCTATTTTTTCTTCCTGTTGACAAAAGTACTTCCATTTTAAAATGTGAAGCTCAACTCTTGTGCCTGTCACAAGTTGCAGTGACTCATGCAGACCAAATGCTTGTTAGGGAACTAAAAATGGAAGTAAGTCAAACTTAACAAACTTTGGAATATGAATCAAAAGTATTCTAAAAGGATGTTGAATAGTAAAAGCACTTAAGATAAACTGATACCAAAATGTATCCTTGTTTTAGACTTAGTTATCAGTAACTCTAACATAACAGTGCTCAGTATCAAACTGATTATTTCAAGTCTTTTATCTTTAGTAACAAGTTTAAAATGAAGATAAAAAAGGATAAATTATCAAAGATCATTTACTATTTGACATAATTTCAAACATCTTTGCAGCAAAAACAGAGTGATGACTGTTTTAGTTCAATATCCGAACCTATGAGTGATGCTACTTCGCTTTTATACCCAGAGGGTCATAATCAATAGGGGCTCAAATCAAACCATCAGAGACTTCCTTCATAAAAGCTGAATCACATTAATGAGGCTCTATCCATCTATCTATCTATAATAGTGGTAAGAAAGCATCTGTTCAGGACACCCAACAGAGCAGTATGGCTAAAAACAGCCTCGAGATTAACACAGAAGTTAAGTACAGACAGTTGCTGTCTATCACATCCTACTCTGGCGCACTGGAAAATACTGCAAGCTTTATAAATTGATGTATTCCCAGATCAACATGTATGCTCTCATTTCACCAATATATATTGAACCAGGGCTAAGGCTGTAAAACAGTGGAGTCAGGTTATATGGTAAAACAAAATTCCATATCATTTCCAAAGATGATAAATGGAATCTTCTCTCTATTATAGTTTAACATGACTCCACCATTGTAGTGCTGCAGGCTTTTATCATTCTCACCAGTTATCTCAGAAAATAAATGCTGTGATTCTAATCTGCAGCAGACTCAACTTTAAAAGCTGCTCAAATCATTCAAAATACCGCAGGTCTACAAAAATACCAAAATATTATCAGACATACTACAGAAAAGACCAGCTTTTTATCTTTAGGTAACTGACAATGTCTATCAATAAATGAGACAAAAAATCCAGACCAAATATAACCAACATAGAGACATCATGTGACAGACAACCAGATGGTGAATAGCCCACATTGGCAGAACTGAATCAAAGTATAGTAAATATAGTTAAGCATGGCTCCAAGATCAGGCAATTCTTTGTATCATAATGAGAAACCTCTATTGACTCATACTCTGAAATATGGTTTACAACAGAGCATTAATCTTTGCAAAATGTGAAACCATACCATCTAAATATATATATATCAAATTTGGAGGAAGATCTTTAAATAGGTCAGGGCAGTCAACACTAACTGAACTGAAAGTATGCATCTTGTTTTATCACAAATAGTAAGAAATGGGGTGGATAAAACAACACATTACACCAGTTAAACACTGGATATATATATATATATAACAATGTACTAAGTAAAAGAAAGGCCTAATAGATAGATGGATAGATCAAGTAAAAAGTGGGTGTGTCTAAGCTGTATTTTCCCAATGGAGTATGCTGTAAAGAAAACAATTATGAAAATTTGCAACAACAGTTGATAAGGCATAATTTGTTTGGTGAAACAACCTTGAAACATAAAATATAATTGATTATTACAGGAGAATCCAAAAATGTGTGCAATTAAATACTGAAATTATACAGGCCAGGACAGGAAAAAAATTATACAATTTCGACTAAAATATCCAATAAAATCTGTAATTTTCCACACACATGGTAAATGTGCAGCTGTTAAATTCTTGAAACTACAATAAATGTCAAAGGGAAGACTGCGGTTGTGACCCATGTTATACGTGGATACCGTATTACAGCCTGTTATCGCAGCAACTGAAATCATAAGCATCGAAGGACATGGGCGTTTATGTCGAACTTATTAATACTAAGTTACAAATAAATTTGGATAACTATATCTATATGTAGAGGTCATAACAGAGGTCAAAGAGTTGTGAGGTGGAGATCTCGCAGGTGAGACAGCCCTGATTACGGGCCGTCACACCTATTTTGAAATCGTGGACATTCCATCATGGCAGCTCACCGGTGAACTCACTCAACCGGATACTAAAAAGAATGTCATCTTACTCATTGTCATGGCAAGGTCGATCGGGGGCAATTAAGTGGAATATGCAGCTATGTTATTTTGCAAATCTTGATGCCTTTATTTGGCTGCGCGAGCGTGTCGTAATCACGAGTAAGAATGTGAATAATCTGACCTTTCGCTGCTGTTTTTCCCAAGCAGGGTCCAGGAGTCCCTCCCTCTCCCATTCTTCCTCTTGTTCCATGTACCCATCACTGTACGGGTCCTGATAGACATCCCCCATCTTGGCTCCCGGCTCCTGTTCCGCGTCACACCGATACTGCTATGGGCTCTCGAAAGGTAAAATCCAGGCTGGCAAGGAAACAGCCTTCGAAAACGTGTGTGAAATGTACACCACCCCGCCAGGAGAGTAACGGTCACGTGATAAATACGAAAATATCGGAAGTGCATTCGGCACTCTCCGACTATTTCCGGACACAGGTGGGTGTCTCCGAAATAAACCACAACAGCAGCCGCAATATATTACCGTAAAAGGAAATATGTCCCTCAAACACGTATATTATTAGGAATTTCGGTACAAAGGGGATGTTTTAATTCGCGTATGTGGTTTTGTTTACTGATAGTGTGCTAAGACTTACTTGATTACTCAAGAATTAGATGAAATCTTAATTCAACGCCTCAGAAAAAACTGTACCTGAACGTAGTGAAAAACACAATCATGAGCAGACACCAATAACGCGCTGCAAAACATTAACTCGTCAATGCCAAGCATCATGTTAAGCAATGTTTTGATTAAATCGATAATTATGATAATACAAATAGATGTTGAAACATCAAAATTTATAGCAGGGTGCAAAGGATTTTGTCAACATTATAGGAAGGAGACACAATACTAACTAGGGAGCACGCGAGCCACAGACATTTCTAATGTTTTCTTATCCATTTCCATTTTCATCTATTTATATTTATTATCATTGAATTCCTTTGGTAAATAGTAGATTTCAATCGAAAAAGATCCTTAGCAAAAGAAGGATGAATAAATTAACAGCAAAAAATAAGGTCAATATATTGAATCATTTATTTCACTAAGCGTATTCTCTATTCTGAGTGGGCAGTTTCATGCATTTTTAGTATTTTCGTTCGGGCCAAATTAAATCTTTGAACAGTATATCAATCTCAACATTTGAAAAAGAAATAAAATAAAATTAAAATATTCAATTTTTTATGAAAAATTAAGACGCCAGCAAACCAATCCACGTTCCTATTTCAAGAACCTTACCCGGTATAACTGACGATATTTATCTTGTAACAACATTTGACAGAAAATGAAATGGTTTAGTTGTTATTACCGTTTTTTTATTCTCAGACTGTATGTACCCCTACTCCAACACCTTGACACTCCCTCCCCATCTAATAATCACCTACTTATGATTTTCAAGAATAACGACCGCACGATTTAGATACAAATGACTATGAACCTCATATTTTAAATTGCAGTGTGACAGATATTTTATCATAGCACTGAGACCGGTGATTATGCATTATTAAGAAAGGATTATCATCTCCTAAATTGCTGTAATCTATTTCTGATATATACAGTATGTAGAAGACTACTGAAGGGGATTTTTTAAAGATTTTTGTTGTATGCTCAGCGTTGGAATGATTTTAAGATAATAAAACCATAGACGAGAAACAAGGCGTGCAAAGGATCGGTTAAGCGCGTCTACTACATGTAGTTGAAAAACAACAGCATCAACTCCTACTCTGAAATGTAATACATCCGAAGTTACACTCGCTGTTTTTGGTCCATGAAACAATAAAAATTGTAGCTTACCAAACGTAAGAAAAATTCGGGTGATACAGCACTGACTGGACCCACGGAAAATAAGCAATTAATGGTATTATAAAAACACCATGATCACTGTATTCACCTTTAAAAAGAACCATATTTAAGCAACATTTTTAAAAGAAAACGGGCACAAGATATTCGTTTAAAAATGCAGAGGTGCAATAAAGACGGAAAATCAAAAGCCTAGGGTGAACACTTTTTTCATAAAAGTGTCTGTTTTCTCTCCATATTTTAAACTATTTGCAGAAATTATCCTACTGGTATGAAATAAGGCGTTGCAAGTCAGTTATTTTTCAGGAGGGAGCAACAGCTGAAGTAATTTTTAATTTTTATACGGGCGTCTCGATAGTCCAAAGGTTCATTGGTCCGAAGACGGACACAATGCAAGCACCACCTAGGTCCCAACCGAACATACGGGCTGCTACGTGTGGTCTACGGCCAAAAAAAAAAAAAAAAAGGGAAAAACATTGGAGTTCGTGCTTGAGGAGCACGTCCATCGTGCGACTTTTGGAGGACGCAAACAGCAGGTAGTAACTTTTCTACATGATCAACAGCCGCTACGTGCGATCTAGCTACGTCATATAGCCGGACGCAAGGAACCTAAAAACCGTGCGTCCAAAACGTAGTTGGGACCTAGGCTTTATTGTCCGTGCTCCGAAGATTCATTGGTCCTAAAATTCGTAATATTTTCAAATATTGTTTTATCCTGGAAAACATTTGTTTCCGCTATATACTTGGGTATTTCAACAATTTTAAGTAAAGTGACACAACAATAGGACAATAAAACTCATACAAAAGTGCAGCCTAACAATGGCAAATTTTCAATCACAATTTATGGTACTGTCAATTCCTTTATTCTGAAAGTCCAGGTGTAAGGGAGATCTATAAAATCAGTTTGGAACTTTTTCACATCTAGCAAAATCTTCATTTCACCACAGACCCAAATTTTTATTCTAAATATCGACGTATGTAAGCTTATCTACAAATAAATAGTAAAAACACCATTTTAGTAAAATCAAATTTTCTCGATTCTTGAAAAAATCAATTCTTTAGGGACCTAATGTTATCTAATATTCACCTTAACAATTTCAAAGTTTTATTTACAAGGAGGAACAAGTTTCAGTAGCCAAACGACATCATAGTGCTCGTAAAATGGTTCAAAACCCCGATTGTGTTTAAATCTACCAACATCTCTCAGTTTCAAAACTTCTTCTAATAGCACACCCAAGAGAATAGATTGCTAGACTTTCGAGGCAAGGTTGGAAGGTCCCAATCAGGTTAACTATCCCGGAAAAAAACGGAACAATAGCGACCACCCTCAGCTGAAACCTTGATTGGTTAATCAACCTGGTAAATGGGCTTAAAAACACAGAAAACGACTTAAGAATGCTATTCTAAATGCTACTACCATAACAACAACAACAACAACAAACTAGAAAAGCACTCCGAGAGCGCAGACCTCCGCCAAGACAGCGATTTTTGATTATTATTGATTGATTATTGATCCGGATTACCACCAAAAACTAATCATCTCTTCCTTGGTCCACTTCTGACTGTTCCTGAAAATTTCACCAAAATCGGTTCATAACTTTTTGAGTTATGTTGATGACAGACAAACAAAAAAACAGACAGACAAACAGGGGTGAAAACATAACCTCCTTGGCGGAGGTAAACAATTAAAATAAAACAAAATTGCCCCCTCCCCCCCCCCCCCCACCCACCCATATGCATGTGCACCCTAAAATTATTTTGACCAGCTCGGTTGATTAACCACTCAAGGTATGAGCCGAGCGTGACTGCGACAAAACAAAAGCAGTGGCTCTAATGAAAAAATATAGATTGGCCTCCCTGAGTTACACCTCACTTTTAACACACACTTGAATCGAAAATATTTTAATAACTTAATAGGGCCTAAATATGTTTTATTCGTTGTAACGTATGCATCTAGGGGGGGCGGATCCACGATTATTTGAAAGGGGGGGGGGGGGCGCGGGGGTCCGCGGATGCGAAGCCGCCGCCCCCCCCCCCCCCCCCCCCCCCCCCCGCCGGGCGGGGGGCCACCCCCCCCCCCCCCCCCCCCCCACACC